GCGGTTCAGGAACACCATTGGCGGGGATTACAGCCCCACAGTGGCTGTGCACCCGGTTGGTTTTTTGTCTGGGGAGCTAATCTGCATTTGTTTTGTCCTCTGGTAATGTTGCAGCCGTCAGCTGTCCCCCCAACAGCCACTACGAGAGCTGTGTGTCCCTGTGCCAGCCCCGATGCGCTGCCATTCGACTGAAGAGCGACTGCAGCCACTACTGTGTGGAGGGATGCCAGTGCGACCCCGGGTACGTCCTCAACGGCAAGAGCTGCATCCTGCCCCACAACTGTGGCTGCTACTCCGATGGCAAATACTACGAGGTACGCTGCTTATGTCCTTCTTCTCCTGGCCTTTCTCCCACTCTCCTTCTGATATTCCTGGGCAGCGTATCGTGCCCTGAGTGGAGATGGTGGCCAGGGCAAGACCAGGTGTTGCGCTGGGTCCATTTGCCAGGGTAGCAGGGTCAGAACCTCAGAGAGAGCGCCCTTCAGGACCTGGAGGGACAGGCCCTCTCCTTCACCAAAATCATACCTGTCTGCCGGTCCGTGGCCATGCTTGGGGATCGATCTGCAGTCGGGTGGTTTTGCACCAGGCAGGAGTGGGTGAGAACAAGGGCAAATGTGCATTGAATGGAGGTGGAGAGAGATGAAGCAGTCTCCATAGCGGAGCCCCGGCAATGGTCCGTGGGATGTTTGCTGGTGTTTTCTGGGACTTGCAGTCTCCCAAGTCCTGCTCTGAGCTGCAGAGTGTATTCAGCTCCTGCTGGAAGAGAACCTGTGTCAGGGCCTGGGTTCAGCTCTGATCTGACTACGGACGTGCACTCAGGTCAGGTGCTTTACACATCAGAGACACCTGTGCCAGTCCCATTTCCAGTCCGAGAGTCTCCATGGCTGCTCTTTTGGAGCTCTGGTGTGAGGAAGGCCAGCACAGAGCAAGGAAGCCTCCATCTGAGGGCCCATGGGAATTATATCTCCTAGAGGAGTGGAAAGGTGGAGTCAGTAAGACTGTGTGGTTTTTTGTGTATCTATGAAAGGGGAGGGAGGTTGTGGTGGGAGTGGAAAACATGTCATTTTCTCATGCCTGTGAGTAGCAGAGATGCTGGAAGGTGGGTGCAAGCTACCAGCGTGTTCTTTGCACTTTTTTCTCTGTCCTCATTTCCCACTCTCACTTGCTGTGCAGTGGAAGGGTGTAAATCTTGGTCCGCAGAGGGTAGGACAGGGGTCCCTGGCCCTTCTGGCCAGTGACAGGTCCCTCTTTCAGCCCAAGCAGCTCTTCTGGAATGGGGACTGCACCCGCCGGTGCCGCTGCTTCCGACGCAACCTCATCCAGTGCGACCCGCGGCACTGCAAGTCGGACGAAGAGTGTGCCTTGCGCAACGGTGTCCGTGGCTGCTTCAGCACCAGGAGCTCCTTCTGCCTGGCAGCGGGGGGTGGTGTCTTCCGCACCTTCGACGGCGCCTTCCTCCGCTTCCCTGCCAACTGTGCCTTCGTCCTCTCCACCATCTGCCAGAAGCTGCCTGACTTCTCCTTCCAGCTTATCATCAACTTTGACAAGTGGTCCTCGCCCAACCTCACCATCATTTCCCCTGTGTACTTCTACATCAATGAGGAGCAGATCCTCATCAGCGACAGGAATACCGTCAAGGTAAAGTCTCGTCAGCTGCATCTGCCTCCTCCGGAGCAGGGCTAGGGGACAGGCGGCGTGGGATTGGCTCCCAAGCAGAGGAGGATGGGATGTGGGGCTGCACGATGGTTTCTGCAAGGGCCCTGCAAGGCTCTGTCAGTGGCTTTGTCTCCTGGGAGAGACAGCTCTATGGGTGAAGGATACAGCCATCATCTGTCAGGCTTAGTGGAGGGATGCCAGACAGGACCAAAGGGCTGGCAGGAGATGAGGCCATCTGCAGCCCAGGAGTTTGCAGTCATGTACCCATCCACCTCTTGGTGGCACTGGTAAAGCTGTCCTTTTGAGCGGAGCGGTATGGAGGGCTGGCTATGGCTGCGTGTTGCTCAGTCTCTGGAGGGCATTGTCTGTGCCCTTTCCTGATGAGCAATGAATCCCTGCACATGAGTTGGGGTCCCTTTGTGGTGCAGGCTCATGCATGTATTTAAGGGAGGTGGTGCACTCGGGGCGACCCATTGGGCTGGAAGGAGGAGGAGCATATGCCAGCCACTGCCAAAGACAAGGTGGTGTGTTTTCATGCCTGGGATAGTGGGAGTCACCTGTGGGCTGCTTGCACTGGCATCCATAGGCGGAGGGTACGGGAGGGATATCAGCCTCGTGTCATCTCCTGCACCAGGTGAACGGCAGCCATGTGAGCATCCCCTTTGTCACTGGGCTTTCCACGAAGATCTTCAGCCAGGAAGGCTTCCTGGTCATCGACTCCAGCCCTGACATCCAGATCCGCTACAATGGCTTCAACGTCATCAAAATCACCATTGGGGAGCGGCTGCAGAACAAGGTGTGCGGCCTCTGCGGCAACTTCAACGGCGACCGGACGGACGACTACGCGACTCTGCGGGGGAAGCCGGCGGTCAGCAGCGTGGTGCTGGCACAGAGCTGGAAGACCAACGGCATGCAGAAGAGGTGAGCGGGTCAGATGCCCCTTCCCTGCTGCATGGGAGCGGGAGCGGGTCCAGCCGCCCCGCAACATATCCGGTGCCCACAGCTGCAACGAGCTGCAGTACTCGCAGTACGCTGCCTCCTGCGACAACGTCCAGATCCAGGAGCTGCAGAGCGACAGCTACTGCCTGAAGCTGACGGACATGAAAGGCTTCTTCCAGCCCTGCTACGGCCTCCTGGACCCCCTGCCCTTTTATGAGTCCTGCTTTCTGGATGGCTGCTACAACCACAAGAAGGTCCAGCGGCCTGCATAGGGCGGGGCCTGCCGCACCTTTGGCATCCTGGGCACCGAGTGGATCGAGAAGGAGAATTGCTGTAAGGGAGCCAGAGACCATCTGGTTCGAGGGGACCCATGTCCTGCTGGGACCGCAACCAGCGGGAGAGGGGGAGAGGGGCTGCTGGGGTGGGGGCGTCCCGTGATGGTTGAAGGTGCCAGCCCTGCGGTCCGAGGGTAAAGATCGTTTTTGCGCTCCGTCTTGTGCTGTTTAGCAGGAGTGGTGGAAGATCCCTGCGTGGGCGCCGACTGCCCCAACCGCAGCTGCGAGCTGGACAATGGTGGGGAGCTGTGTGGCTGCATCGAGCCTCCGCCCTACGGGAACAGTGAGTCCTTTGGTCCTGGCCGCAGAGTCGGCACGGAGCGCGTGGGTGTGCGTTAGGCCATCATTCCGCTGGGGCTTCGGGAAGGGAGGTGCTGAGGGCTGGGGACCTCTGCTGAGACGGGATTTTGCAACCGGGCACAGGTCAGGACAGGAGCAAGGAGCAGGTTTTCTGGAGCACACGTTATGGGCATCTCTGGCTGAGGAGCACGCTGAGCAGCAGGACGCTGGATGGGCAGGGCGTGCCGCAGGAGATGATCCTGGCCTATTTCTGGCCGTGGGAGGGAGGGCCAGGTGGCAGGCAGCCTGGGCCTGCCATGCCATTTGTGGTGATCTGAAGCTGTGTCATCTTATCCTCTAGCCACCCATGACATCATTGATGCAGAGGTGACCTGTAAAGCCGCCCAAATGGAGGTGTCCATTTCGAAGTGCAAGCTGTTCCAGTTGGGCTTTGAGCGCGAGGGCGTGCGGGTCAACGACCGCCACTGCCCCGGCATCGAAGGGGAGGACTTCATCTCCTTCCAGATCAACAACACCAAAGGCAACTGTGGCAACGTGGTGCAGGTGAGCCAGGGCACGCGCGGTTGGGAGCGGAGGCCAGGCTGTTCATCTTGGGTGTCTTCTCATTCATCCAAATGTGAGGGCAGAGGAGGCGGGGGGAACACACCTTCAGGAAGCAGCTTGGCGGAGCGAAAGGGACCCTAGAATCAGCTGGCCCTTGGGAAGTGCACGTACCTCTGACAGTCAGTCTGGGCAGCTTGCACTCAGGTTGTGGGTAGACTTTGTAGCTCACGCTGTTTTGGTGCGGGGTTGCTGTCACCTCACTGACTGGCGTTCTGGTCTAGAGGATGCAGGAGGAGACAGAGCTGAGAGGCTGAGAGGGGTCTGTGTATTACATATGCAAGGAACTTGTTGGCATGGGGAGCATCAAGGTAGCGTGGCTTCATGCCAGCTGGGCAGTTCTCCGCCATGGTGGCCTGGCTTGACACTGGGGATAGTGCAGGGGTGCGCATTGGTGCAAGTGACACTTGGGAGGTGCTTTCTTGGAATGGGAGTTTGGAAAAACAGAGGCAGGTCTTGTAGACTAAGGATGGTGCCCAGCAGTTCCTAGCCCCAGTATATCATACCCTGTCTAGCCAGATGTGGCAGAGGGGCTGCAGGGCCCTTGGTGTCATGCCCCTCATTGAGGGGCTGAGGCATTTGTAAGGAGGTGGGGGAGCAGAGGCGGCCCGTCTCGAGTGATGCCCTGCATTCCTTCTGCAGTCAAACAGCACACATATAGTGTACAAGAACACGGTGTGGATTGAAAGTGCCAACAACACGGGCAACATCATCACCCGGGACCGGACCATCAATGTGGAGTTTTCCTGTGCTTATGAGCTGGACATCAAGATCTCCTTGGATTCAGTTGTCCGGCCAATGCTCAGGTAAGAGTTGGGACAAGTCACATGGCCTCTCCCATCGCACAGGCATGGGACCACATGGGTGTGGAGGGCAAGGTGGCAAGGGTCCGAAGTGAGGCACCGAATCAGGGGATCGTAGCCTTTTCTCCACCTGAGATGGTATTTTTTTGTCATCGTTAGTGTGATTAACCTCACGGTGCCGACGCAGGAAGGGAGCTTCACGACCAAGATGGCCCTGTACAAGAACTCATCCTACAAGCACCCTTACCGGCAGGGCGAGGTGGTGCTCACCACACGGGATGTGCTCTACGTGGGGGTCTTTGTTGTTGGGGCTGATTCCAACCACCTGATCCTGATGCTGAACAAGTGCTATGCCACCCCCTCGCGGGACAGCAACGACAAGCTGCGCTACTTCATCATCGAGGGAGGGTGAGCAACCGCAGGCCAGGCCCCATTGTTTTTTGTCTTTTCTGTTGGGGAGGGTACTTGAACGGGTTCTGGCATCAGTTGGAGCAGGCAACCTTTTGGTCAGTGAGACAGTTGACCAAGATCTAGAACGGGTGGGGAATAGGGGAGCTCGTGTTGTTAGTGCAGGAGTTAGCTCACTTAGCGTAGCGGTAGGCGGGGGGCCGTGGACATCAGGGCATCTGTAGGAGACAGGAGGTACATGGATCGTGGTGGAGGTGTCTTGAGAGATGGGAGTCCAACCCAGTTGGAAGTGTCAGAGAGAGGTCACGCTACGGTAGCAGGACACAGTGTCCTTGTCCAGAGGAGGCAGGCAGAGCAGGATCAAAGTGTGCTGCTGTGAGACCCAGGTCGAGGGGCCTTACGGGGACAGAAGGGAGCGGCATCCTGCGAGTGAGGGTCCCTCAAAGGAGGGCTGAAGCAAGCAGGTACTTTGCGCAGGTGTCAAAACATGAAGGACAACACCATCGGCATAGAGGAGAATGGGGTGTCGTTGACATGTCGCTTCCACGTCACTGTCTTCAAGTTCATTGGGGATTATGATGAAGTTCACCTCCACTGTGCCGTCTCACTCTGCGATTCGGAGAAATACTCCTGCAAAATAGTAAGTGGGGCAAGTGCCAAGGGACAGGTCACTTTTTGCAGGGCTCTGGCAGGGCATGGTGAGCCCGGTTGACCTGGCATCAGAGAGGTGGACAGAGACATAGTCCCAGGGACGAGGTGGGGAGGGTCTAATGTCCCTGAAGGTGCCAGGAGGAGAGCCCTGCCGTGGACAGGTCACCTTGGGACCCATTGCTCTCTGAGCCTGCTGGCAAGGGGGTGGAGTCTGGGAGCCAGGCCAGCTGGAGAAGCACGGAGAGGGCCCAGGAGGAGCTGAGAGTGATGGAGGTGGCATTTATCCCCATGTAGAACTGCCCTCAGCACACGAGGATGGCCAGTGTGTTCACTGAGGAGCCCAAGGAACAGATCATCTCCGTGGGGCCTATTAGAAGGAAGCGTAAGTGTGTGTGACCCTGAAAAGAGCCATGGGGATGTGTCTGTCATCCAGGTCAGGCCTGGTGACATGCCACGGGGCAGCGCCTGGGAGAAGAGGAGCTGAGAGCGCTCAGGAATTGGTGCTTCAGGGAGGTGAGGGTGGAGGGTGCATGGGTGCTGGTTGGATGGGTGCAGGTGAGGGCCATGTCGGGATCCACCTTGCTCGGGGACATGTGTTCCTAGGGATCCATGGTCAGTTGTGCAGGAGATGGTGTGGTGAGACTCCAGGGTGGCATGGAGCACTCCATTTCTGACCCCGTTCCTCTTTGTCTTCCCAAAAGGCCCCTGAAGGGTTGTGAGCATCAGACTAGGCGGTGCTCCGGGGTCATGGGGGATAACGGGAGCCCAGCTGGCTCCTGGCGTTATCCCCATGCTGTGTGTGATATGAGGGCGTGCCCAGCAGGTAATGGGCCTGGTCTTGTGGGCCCCATTGTTGTAGCAGGGAGGGTGGGTCTTGGGCAGTCTAGGATTGGGGGCTTGGGGTCTGGGAACATCACTCAGGTGCCCCCCTTTGCTCTTTGTGCCCAGGATCGGACTGGTGCGAGGACAATGGAGGCTGCGAGCAGATCTGCACGAGCCGGGCGGACGGACCCTTGTGCAGCTGCGTGACAGGGACGCTGCAAGGGGACGGCAAGAGCTGCAGGGGCAAGTACTGGGGTTAGCACGGGAAGTGTCGGGACAGGCGAGACGAGGGGCCATAGGGCTGAGCGCGGGTAAAGCGGCTGGAACGTGTGAGGGCAAGGAGCTGGATGCACACCATTCCCAGGTGACGGTGGTGCCTGAGGGCTGTGACGTCAATGAGGGCAGGCTCTGAAGAGCTGGCAAGCAGTCAGCTGCAACGGTGGTGATGGTGTGTAGCATGGTGTGGGGCACTGCCAGGATTGAGTCCAAAGGCCAACTAAGGGGCTTGTAGAAGGGGGCCCCAGTGACAGGATGGGGGGGGGAATGGCACAGTTCATAGGTCACCCGGGATGTCAGGCAGAGGAGGGAGGTGCCCACTGTGTGTGTGCCCAGTTCACGTGGGTCTTCTTGTTGTGTTGGCAGCCTCCAGCTCTTCAGGGGAGCATCGTGCCCGAGTGACCCTTCTGGTGGCGGCCCAGCTGTGGCTGGGCTGTGGCTGCGCGCAGCTCCGCGGGACCTGACCTCGTAGGCGCGGCTCTGCCGCCCAGCCATGTACTGTTCTCGCGCCAGCCTGAGTCTTTGTAGGGTAGGAGACAGCACCCCCGCAGTGGCCAGGCTGCCCCGACCCGTCCTGCTGCATGGAGCTGAGAGGGACTTGACCTGGAGAGAGAGAGAGAGCGCACGGACCTGGACGTGAAGGTGGTGTGTGGCAGGCGCCGTGGCAGTGACAGCGAGGCAGAGCTGGATGTTTGTCAGCATCAGTGTGGGACTTGGGTTTTTTTTTTTGCAATTTTCCATCATTGATGTGGGACTTGGGGGTTTGTTTTGGCAGCTTTTCCCCAGACTTTCCCTTGTAGCATGCACTGTAGGTGGTCTGCACCCCTGTCAGTAGCGTGGGATGGGCTGGGGCTCATGCCATCCCCTTGCATGGCTGGCAGCGGGTCTCTGCAGTCCTGCAGAGCTGCTGTTGGTGTCTCACGAGCGCATGGACTCAGCCAGAGGTAGGTGTTGTGCACAGTATGTTGGACATCTCAGGAACGCATCGCCGGGTTCTCCAGAGCAGTGGTGTCATCAGTGTGTGTGGTGGAGGGCCAAGCTGGCCCCCGGGGGCCTGGGAAGCCTGTTGGTGCACTGTGGTGGTGACAAGCCAGTGCCAGGGTTTGGAAAGAAGTGCTTTCTGGTGGGCAGGAGCAAGAACCAGAGAAATGAGGGATGGAATTCCCTCCCATGTTTGCCTGGTGCATCACAGCAGAGTTTTTTGAGGGAGGGAGCAGAGTCGGGGTCCATGGGCCTGGGGCAGCATGGGAACACCCGGTGAGAGAGTCGAGAGCAGCCTTGGGGTGCTGGAGGGGTGGGGGTGGGTGCTGTCTGTGTTGGTGTCTTGTCTTGTGTTTGTACTCTGTGAAACGGCTGCGTGGGAATAAAAAGTGTTGTAATCCTTCGTAAGCAGTGTTGTCCTGTGTGATGGTGGCGAGGATGGGGCGAGCCGGGTGGGGCTGGGAGGATGCCATGGCCGGAGAGGGTCCCCAGGAGGGATGGCGAGCAAGGAGTTTCAGGGGTGTTGGGGGGGACCACATAGAGAGGTGTTGGAGCTGAGGGGACTCTGTGCAGCCACCTTCCACCTCCAATGCTTTCTGACAGGACCCAACAGCAAACAGGGAATATTGCTGCTTCTGTCGTGCATGCTGCAAATACATTAGGGAAAACTGTCTGGGTTACTCCTGCCTCAGGCAAAGAGAAACCCATTCGTGGGATGGCTTTTGCCCAAGGACCTGGGCACACTTGGTGGCTGATGGGAGAAGATGGGGAAGTCTAATGTGAACCTCAAGGGGATTTGATTCTGGGGAAAAATAGCCAATGAATTAAATGGTATGATGGATATTGATTGCTGTGTGTGACTCTTCCACTGTATGTCACTGCTGTAGCAGGAACACGGTGTTGCTAGCCAGGCTAGGAGCAAGAGGAGGAGTTCATTGCAATGTTAAGCCCTATCAATTGGCCCAAGTCCAGGGGTGGAGATTGTAATGGAAAATAGCATTAAATTGTTGTAACCTGTGATTTAAGTTGTGTGTCATAGGAATTACTGTAGCAGAAATCGCCTGAACCAATGGAGAAGCCTTACAAGAAACAGTGTGAGTGCAGCAGTGACCTGACCTGAGCTGGCTTCGGTGCCCATGACCCCATGCAACACCCCACCTCTCCTGTCCCGAGTGACCACCAGAACAGATGGAGCCCAAAGTCATGGACTAAATGCACTCAATAGACGTTTTATGGGCATTTTACAAGGATGTTCCATAGACCAAAGGAATGATATCTGTGTGTTATATCAAAGGATGGGAAGCGGGGAGATGGTTAATGAGAATGTATTGGATAGTGTGGGACCTGAGCATGGTGTAAGTGGTATGAAATAAGGGGTGGAGATTCTGCTGGTTTTGGCTGGACAGAGTTAATTTTCTTCACAGTAACTAGTATGGGGCTGTGTTTTGGGTTTGTGCTGAATGTCGATAACACAGTGATGTTTTAGTTGTTGCCTAGGTGATGCTTGTATTAACTCAGTTGGTCCTACTGCTCCTATTCTTCCAGCTTCTTCTCTACAAGGCGCTGGGAGGAGACACGGCCAGGACAGCTGATCCACACCAGCCAGAGGGATAGTTTATGACATGAGAATATCAGAAGGATATTGACCACTTGGAGCGAGTCCAGAGGAGGCCACGAAGATGCTCAGAGGGCTGGAGCACCTCTCCTATGACGAAAGGCTGTGAGAACTGGGCTTGTTCAGCCTGGAGAAGAGAAGGTTCCAGGGAGACCTCATTGCAGCCTTCCAGTACCTGAAGGGGCTACAAGGAAGCTGGGGGGGACATTTTACAAGGGCCTGTAGTGACAGGACAAGGGGTAACGGGTACAAATTGTACCCATTCCCACCTTTGAAAAGCCTCCTGCAAGGCTCTGATGTGATGTTTCTGGATGAGTGTTTCACATCTATTTCAGGTATCAGTGTCACCAGTGTTCAAAAACATCGTTAAAAAATCCCCACCAGATGTAGCCCTCGGGGGTGAAACTTATTCCTGGGCTGGTGACTGGTAGTAGTTAGTGTATTAGTACAGAACAAACTATGATTCTATGAGGCCTCATGCTCGGTGTACAAGCTGAGGGGAGTCGGCTGGGGGGATCACTGCTTGGGGATGGGTGGGTGGTGGGTGCCAGGGGCCAAACTGCATCTTGGGTTGCATCAAACGCAGTAGAAGCAGCAGGTCTGGG